ATTGTGAATTATGTGATAATTTACATGGGAAAATATTAGCTTTACATTCATCCTATTGTATATCATTTCATTGCCATGGTTACAATCCCCTCATGCATCATCAACCAACCAAAGGGTATATACCCTGCAAGCCTGCCCCCTGTCATGTGCACACAGTCCCCCTCCTTCTCTGGGTCTAGAGTCCCCAGCCACTCCATCTCTCCATGTTACCATCTCTGCCTCCATCTCTGGCGTCACTACTTCTCTAGGAGTGACTGATTTTTCAGGAGGGGAGGTCCCTGACACCTTCAAGTGAGAAGAGCGGAATGTGGGACCCTACCCAGAGAAGCAATGACGCCAGAAATGGAGAAGGAGAAGATGACATGAACAGATGAAGCTGCTAGGGACACTGGACTTAGGGAGGGAGAAAAGCTGTGTGCTGACAGCCAGGGGGCAGGCCTGTAGGGTGTACCTTTTGGTCATCTGATGATGCATGGAAGGGATTATAATCATTGCAATGAAATGAAATATAATAGGATGAATGTAAAACTGATGTTCTCTCATGTAAACCCACATAATTCACAATAAAAACTTAAAAAAAAAATTATTGCATTAGCAAATCTACTGCAAAAGTGTTAAATCTACTGTAAAGTGGTAAAGAGCAAAGATGTCAGTTGGAGGACTAAGTTGCACCTGACCCATGCCATGATACTTTCAGTCACCTCATTAGAATATGAAAGTTGAATAATGAGTAAGGAAGACTGTAAAAGAATTGTTATATTTTAATTAAGATGTTGGAGAAGAATATTGGACTGCCAGAAGAACAAACATCTGTGTTGGAAGATGTACAGCCAGAATGCTCCTTAGAAGCAAGACTTTGTCTCTCATATTTTAGACAAGGTGTTAGGAGGGACCAACCCCTAGAGACTGACATCATTCTTGGTAAAGTGTAGGGTCACCAGAAAAGAAGCAGACCCCCAACAAGGTGGACTGACACAACTGCTGTAACAGTGGCCTCAGGAGCAGGCACAGGCACTGTTTCGTTCTGTTGTGCATAAGGTTGAACTGACTCGACAACACCTAACAATATCCTGACAGTTTCATATCTATACTAAAATTGTCTTAGGACAGACACATGATGACAGATAGTCTGTGGATATTTCATTGAGATATAAACAGTTACTTCAAAAATATCTGTGTATGAATTTCACTGTAAACTTAAAGACTAATTAAGCTTAACAAATGATACTACTACTACTACTAATTATTATTATTATATGGAAAGAAAATATTTTACAAAATAATTGTAAAACGTTTAATCCTGGTTGGTGTGTGTGTGTGGGGGTAATGCACAAGAATGCCCAAACTTGCAGATAGTACCCATTTGACCTAGCTTTGATGGCTTGACCAGAGCTTGACTAGAGGAAGATAAAGAAATTTGATAAAGGAACCAAGTATAAATTGCTACAATTTCATGAACTTGACCTATACTTATGGATGTAGTAGCTCAAAGTAGCAACCGAGAGAGAAGGTGTCTTCACATCAAGGATCAAGCCTTTCTCCTCAGTATACAGGGTTGATAGGGACAGGCAACTTAGACATTGGCTACCTAAAATGGGGGGTATAAAGGCACGAAGTGGCTGACTTAAAAGTTTTCAAGAGGAAGTTTAGTTTCAGAGTCTGCAGGGGAAGGTAGAATCCCCAATGAATAGTTTTCATCTTGTCTAGATGGGTCTGGTGAAAGGAGATGGTGATAGGATTCTTTTGATTCAATCGTGAGTAACTGTTATCATGACTAAGTGTGACAGTCACAACTATAAAGGTAGAAGTTTTGTAACATAAAGGGGAGAGTAGTTATTACGAATCAGGCTGCAAACCTTAAGGTCAGCGGTTCGAAACTACCAGCTGCTCCGTGGGAGAAAGATGAGGCTTTCTACTCCCGTAAAGATTTACACCCTCGGAAACCCTGTACAGGGTCGCTATGGGTC